GTGTGAGAGAGAGAGAGAGAGAGAGAGAGAGAGAGAGAGAGAGAGAGAGAGAGAGAGAGGCTGAGAGGAGCAGGAGGAGGAGGGACGGGCAGCATCAGGACATCTGGCTGAAAATGAGACTGGCTGAGGAGAATGAAAAAAAAAAAAGCCTCTGGGGTCATTTCAGAAAAACAAATAGATAATAAAATGATGAAAACCTACATAGCCTCAGACTTCAAAAGGCTCACAAGGTTTAAGAGAAATAGAGGAGCATGAGGAAGAGGAGAGGTTGGGGATGAAAAGAATATCTGACAAAATCTCCCTGCAAATGGCAAGACAAAAAAACAGCTGAATCACTCCACGGAGAATCTCATTAGTGGCCTTCTTTTCTACCTTTAATAATGAGCAGTTCCAGATAACACCCACATATGAGAAACTGTTCTAAAAGGGTGTGAAATCATCAGAGAGTGAGATGAAAGAGAGAAAGAGAGAGAAACACAAGACGTAAAAGAGAAGAGAGCAATAGAAGAGCTCCTTAAAGAATACTTCACCCACAAAATGACCATTTCATGACAATTACTCACCTCGTGTTGCCTTCAATTCATGAAGAAAACACAGCGTACGATTTAAAACACATCCACATGAACAGTCTCACGCCTGCGACTGGATGAATGAGACTTGGAGTATACTGCACGAGTTGTGAGTTTTTTGATCCACCGTGGAGGCATGGAAGCAACGTTTCCTTTGAGGATTCAAGGCAACAAGAAGTGAGTAATTGATGTAGAAATGATCACGTTGTGGGCGAAGTATTCCTTTAAGGCTCGACGAGTATGGAGACGGTTTAACTGCACGGACAACGGGAGCACGGAGATAATATGCAGACGCATGCCTGGCAGCTCTCAGCAGACCTACAGAAGCCTGATGTTTTCAATACCCCTCTACCACACACACACACACACACACACACACACACACACACACAGCTTGTTACTGGAACCATACGCTGGAGACGAGCACCTCGGGGTAGACCCTGCACTCTTACAGCAGAAGCTGTTTCATCAGTGAATCAGAACTAATGGCTGTGCTGACAGAAGACATATGGAGGCCCATTGAAGGACTGAATCACTGTAATAAACTAAGAAAACATTGAGTCATCGAACAACTTGCCATACTGTCAAAGCTACAGGCCCGTGCTGCTCTCGCATTCAATCCACTTTCATTGTTGGGATCTGACAGACGAATGACTTCAGTAGAGGTTCATGTTGTGGAAGATAAAGGAAATACGACTCATTTAATGAGCAATTTGACACTTACCAAT